TGCATTAAGAAGACCATCTCTAGCAGGTCGAGGGAGGTGATCCTGCCCCTCTACTCAGCCCTGGTGAGGCCGCATCTGGAGTACTGTATCCAGTTCTGGGCTCCACAGTACAAGAGAGATGTGGAGCTGCGGGAGAGAGTCCAGCGCAGGGCTACAAGGATGATCAGGGGCCTGGAACATCTGCCCTATGAGGAGAGGCTGAGGGAGCTGGGCCTGTTCAGCCTGGAGAAGAGAAGGCTGAGAGGGGATCTAATCAGTGTATATAAATACCTCAAGGGAGGGAGTGCAGAGGACGGGGATGGTCTCTTTTCAGTGGTGGCCACTGATAGGACTAGAGGAAATGGCCGGAAACTGAAACACCAAAAATGCCATAGGAACTTAAGGAAAAATTTCTGAACAGTGAGGGTGACAGGCTCTTGGAAAGTCTCTTCCAGGTGTCTTTAGGGATGTGTAACGATTCAAAACATGTTCCCAGAATGGGGCAGAGAATGCTACTGGGAGCTCCTTGAGTTTATCTTTGTATTGAGAATATCAGAGTGAAGTCCTTGTTAGAGAAAGAAGAAGCATTTTAGATTAGTTAAATGAAACTCCTTGAATAAGGCTGTATGCACATGAGATGCAGGTGAGTGGATTGCACTACAGCAAGGGGCTGGCAGTTTCCTGGTCACATCAGTGATCCAGCAAGGAGCCGTGGCCTTTGAGGACCACACTAATGCTCTTGTATTTTCTTAAGCACAATACCACAAAAAACTAATAGAGATTTATATGGCCCACAGTTGCTTGTACGCACCTCAAAGGGAGATTCGTGTTGTAGTTTCAATTCTATTTCCTATTTGGCATATATTTGTATAAAGCATGAAAACAACATGACAGATCCCAGCTTTGGGAGAATGTGTCAGTTCAGAGGCTTGTTCAGAGGCACTGATTTGATGCTGTCCAAGTTAAATATTTCTTTAATGTTAACAGATCCAAGAGAATCACTCTGACTTTTTGATAACAATATTGAGAACTGTCTGTGCCAGTATGATGGCCGAGCATTTCTTTTTAGCTGTGAATGTATTGCTCATTGACATTTTGGGGCATTTGCATATGAACTGTAGGACCGTCACTGTTTGCCAATATTGATGATCCAGTTACTAATGCTATTTAACAGTTAGTGTTATGTTAGCATTTGTTTTGAGAAATAAAAACCGAACAGTTACAGAATTGAAGATTAATGGTTGCTTAGTCACCAGTGATTTTACTTGATTATATTTGTTACAGCAGGCAGGCTGAAGCCCCTCTAAGTAATAAACCAAACTGCTACTCTAAGGGGTTCCTATTACAATGCGGAAAACATGTTTCATCCAAATAAGCAAAGAGAAAAAAAATGTAAAAATGTGGGGTGTTTTTGTGAATAATTTAAGAAAGTTTTTATGAACACTCAGCATCCCCACAATCAAACAGAAAATCCTGGAGGATATGTGCCTAATCTGTGTTGATTTATAAATACTGTGTATGCTATGTGGCTTTTTATAGCTGCAAGGAGTGATTCTTGACTACACTGTATTAATTAAAAGAGCCTGCAGAGCAAAAAAAAGGCAGGAAATCAAACCCAATGATAAGACTCCCCTAGGGTAGGCATATCAAAAGTCATTAAAAAATAGACCTAATGCTAGTCTATGTTTTCATCCATGGGGGAAAAGTAAATGAAAAATCACTGCCAATAAAATGTTTTGATGAGATAAATAATACAGGAAGTGGTAAGAAATGGAACAATCAAGTCAAAGACATAGAGCAATTTGGAGCACTTTTAGTAGCTAAGTACAAGAAATCACTATGTATTACAGTGTCCAAGTGTCTGCTCATATTTCTAAGCCAAGAAGGGCAAGCTGTACATCCATGGAGGACCCCTATCGGAGCATTATTTATTTATGATTAGATTAAACATGGTCCTGGACAGCTGTGTTTGAGCCTGAAGGTTGAACCAGATGATCTTTAGAGGTCCATTCCCACCCCAGCTCTGTGATTCTGCAGTGGTGAAACCCCAGGGCTATACTGTAGTTAGGAAAAAGCCTCTAAGATCCTTGTCTATGTACAGAGGAGAATTTTGGATAGGAACTAAGAGCTCTTTTACCCTAGGATTTAGTATGCTGGAGTGATTGCCCTGGAATGGTGTGCTCACTTCTGGTTTGACACACTGAGAAGTAGGGTCATAAATTGGAGAGAATAAATTGGTTCAGAAAAGAATGAAAGAAGGGTCTTAGAGCTGGAGGACTGACCTTACAAACAAATTCAAGGAACTCTGTTAGCTTGTCAATGAGAAGCTTATTAGGTAGTTGGATTATGGTCTACAAACTCCCTATATCAGGAAGATAGATCATGTAACAAGGGGATCTTTAATCTGCCAGAAAAAAATGCTGTAATGAGATCTAAGAAAAGCTGGAGGTGCATGAATTGAGCCCAGACAAAGTGTGGCAGTTGGGTAATTGAGAATAGTTAACTTTGAAGTGTGGTAAACTCCCAACTTCTGGAATTTTAAAATGTGTAAATTTTAAAGATATGGTATTTGTCTCTAATTTTTGCTTTTTGGCAGGTATGTTTGTTCTATTTAAAACAAATCTTACATTCTTCATAGCTTATGTTCTTCAGGAGTCTAATGTATTAATCTTGGCTTTTGGGGTGCTGCTGTGTCTAAAGTTCACTTGCAAAATATCTGTATTCTCCTCTGTGGTTTTGTGGTCTCTGAAAAATTCTCTAGCGTAATCAATGTTAGAAATTTAAGCCATCATACATTTGGTATATTGAGGTAAGTAATTAATTATGGTCAATTAAACATAATTACATTGAAAATTACAATGCTTTTATATCTATTGTCCAAATACCAAGTTTCTCTTACCATTCATAAAAGCTCTGGGAGTGTACCAGTGGCAGTACCTATTATACTGTCAACTTTTTTAGTAAATATGACCTAATAAGTATAATACTTTGAATGAATCACATGAAACATTAATTCCAGTTGGTGACTTAATTACTGATTTGTAATTTAAATTCTCTAAGCTTTGTCTAATTTTCCTAGCCTTAACCTTTTGGTTCATTTAGTTTTAAATCAAGTCATAATGTAGTCTTGTGCTGTAGCATTTTGTTAAGCATGAAATAATAAAGAGCTCTGTTGATGTGTTTGGAAAAAAAAAAAAAAAAAACATATTAAGAGGTTTTGTACAGCCTGGAGATCAAAAGAACTGCTCAGCCATCCTGTCATGTCTCCGGTGCATTGCAGGCCATTAACTTCTATCCACTTACCTCTGTGTCTAGCCCAGTTAGTTTGATTAATGCATCTTGATCCTCAGGAGACTAAACGTTTGTATGCCACAGAGCCTTACCTGTCTGATAAAGCCAGTCTGACTCCTTCCCTGTCTTAGCTTTATCCCCGAAAACAGCTGCAGTTAAGTTGTTGTATGATTTCTTTTTTTTTTGCATTTGCACAAAAAGAAACTGAGCAGAGATGTGCTAGCTCTTTTTGTTGTGAATGCCCAGGCAACGGTCGGATAATGGGAACATACTAGAAGAATTTACCCCCTTCTGTACTGAAAGAGCCCTTAATTTGGCAGGACAAGATGATCAGAAGATAATGAGGACAGGCAAAACAACCCAACACACTCTCTCTTAAAAGTGTCATTTCATACTTCTATCTATTTTAAATATTTATTTACTGGAATACAGATGTTCATATATCCATATTCTATTAGCTGAACAGTATATGTTTATTTTTGTACTTGGGCCCCCACCCCAATACTAAAGTTATGTTATTATTGTAGCTTCTTTTTTTGATATCAGAAGTTTGGGAAGAAGTTGGCTAAAATCCTGGAATCAAGTGTACCATGCACACTGTAATCTAATGAGCAATCATACGGTCAGGCTCCTGAAGGCACCACCAGGCCTCACTCTCCCTGCCCACCTTCCCTGGGGCCTCCCCTTGCTGTGCCCAGGCCCAGGCCCCTATTTCAGCCCGGCCTGTGGTCCTTGGTCCCTGTCCAGCCAAACTAGAGTGTTGCCAGGCTCCAGCCCCACTGTGCTCCTGCCTCTGCCCCGTGACCCCCGGCCCCAGCCTGTGGTTAACCATCCTGCCCAGCCCCAGCCTGCCCTGTCACCACAAAGTTCTTGGTTGAGCTGGACTCTTGGTTGAAATTCACCGTGATCTCTGCGTCTGCCCTGCTCACCTCGTGTTGCACCTTGTGAAGAAACGGACTCAGTCTGGGGTGCAGAGTGAGACAACTTTATTTCCAAACCGACTTCTTTTTATACTTTCTTAACACAAGTGTTGCAAAGCGCACAACCAATCAGCATCTGGCCACCTGCGCGGTTGTCTGGCTTTGTTTCTTTTCTTCTGGCAAGACACGTCGCACACGAGGCAGGGGGAGGTGTTCCTCAGTCCTCGTCTTTCTCGGCTCTGTCCCCCATCTGCTGCAAAGACTGACACCCTTGTGGTTAACTATCGGCTAACAAGGTACTATTGTCTTTGAACAAGCCTCCACAAAAAGATAAAATTATTCTTAAGAAATTAGAACCAACTTAATTTATATTTTTGACCCAAGAAGTATCAAAGACGACCTAGCACAAATTAGCTAACCATAAAGGCTTTCTTTTAAGGGTAACAACAGCAGCACAATGCTACGTATCGATTAACATACATTCCTGCACCTTCATTGTCACAAAATGTAAAATAACTCTTTCTAAATTCTAATGCTGAAATAAAGTCTAATCAAGTCTTCTGTGTTACAATTCACATCTAGAAAAAAAAAAAAAAAGAAAGGGGTGGGGGAAATATATATATGTCTTCCCATTTTTCATTAGTTAAAGCAAAAAGGCTGATGGGGAAGGGAAGGAAAGGAACATATCAATTGAAAATAGTTTACTATACAATGTTATAAATAAAACTAAGCTTTCAGAACAGGCTTCAGTTCTCTAATCAATTGTGGTAATAGTGATTGTACATACCTGACTAATAGGATTTTGGTCGAAGTACTCTTCAACAAAATACTCCAATAACTATAAAGAAAAGTTAAGACTGTTAAAAAAATATATAAACAGTTTAATTCCACATACACTGAGTGGTTAACACCTGCAAAGCAAAGATTCAGTGACATGAAAAAAATGGGGGAGTAGAAGGAAAAGGAAGCACGAACCTTCACTCCCACTCTCCTTCCTCTGGCCAAAGAAACCTTAGCCCTTGCACCCTTCTCATTCCTGTATTATTTATGGAAAGTATATTTCAGAAAACTCATTTCACTGACTTTGTATATTAAAGGTCTAGATTCATGTTAATCCAAATAGGTATTTAAGATGCAACAAAAAGCATTAATATGAAATCCTAGGTTTTTAATATTTTGTACAATGCTTGATGTTATTAGCAAAAATCCTATAGGACTTTAGAATCCAATTTTGCTTCTCTGAATTTAGAAATGACTTCTGCCTAGCATCCACGCAAATCAGAATTTTTGAAGCCACAAACATAAGAAAAAACTAAGCATTGCTATATGTGTTAACAAAGTATATTTGCTCTCTTCCCACCCGTTATTATGGACAGCACTTCAGCTCAATTTCCATATACTTCTTTATCATCTCATAATACATCCTTAGCAATTGTTTTCACTCTGCCCTAACACTTCTGCAAGGCAAACTAATCTTACATTTATTACTCAAAAAACCTGTTCCTGGAGAATTACACTCTAGTAACATAAAACAAGGAGGGAAAGAAAAGCAGGGATGAGATGAAAGGTGAGGATAGGCAAATCATCTAGTCACAAGAAATTATTTCTAAATACAACACGAAAATGATTTACAGAGGAGCAGTCAGTAAGTAAGAGAAAATTTTGAGTACAGAAATACCTTTAAAGTGCAAGTAAGTCTGTTGGGTTTTAAGTCTTGGTCCTCCATAGTTCTTGATCCATCAATGACCACATAAAGGTGACGCATCTGCAATATCAACATAATACCAATTCTACAAGTTCCCAGTTTAAGACAAAGATCAAATTTTGACATCCACAGAACAGTGCTTAAATAAGTGGTTCATTATTTCCCTTACTCAAATGTAAAAGAAAATTTAAAATGCTAACCAAATCATACGTTTTAAAGCTATGCAATCAAAAACAACAGAAAAAAAGGATTATTTTTCCACATTTCCTTCAAAAGGAAACAAAAGAGTCTTTTATGACTAATATTCAGTTATGCCCCCAAGTAAGTTACAAAATTATCATAGCTTGCAAACTTGCATTTAATCTCTTCACCCGAGAAACTCAACATGTCATAAAGCAATATTACCATTTACAATTCACTTAAACTCTGTCCACCCATTTAGATAGAGAAAGTAGAACAGCAAGAATGTGTATGACCTGACTGCATCTGCAAAGCATGTCCTGATGCAAAAAATACACCAAATCTCAACCTCTGAAGCTATTAATGCTTAACATTCCACACTACCACTAAGCTCAAAAAAAAAAACTAAAAAACTGCAGGGTGGCAAAAAGAAAGCTTCAGTCTCTGCCATATAAATTAAAAGTGTTCTTCATATTAGGCATGCTACTGCAGTTCAAGGAGTTTTGGACATAGGACAGACAAGAATAAGCTATTAACATACCATTCCAAGTCGAACCTGTCCATGGTGTTCCTGGAGTCTAAATAATAAATAAATAAACAAACACAGGTTTTAAATAAAATCAATCTTTTTTTTTGCATCTTAAGAGATTCTAATCCTACAGTTCCAGCACACATGAAATTATCATTTATCATGATAATCACAGTAGCTTACTTCAATTGAAAAGAAACAAAAGGGGAGATTATAAACTCAACCTTCAACTATAAACAGATCTAACAACTCTTAGAAAACAAAGTACAGTTCTTATGACCAAATTTAAGGAAACTTTAAAAGGTCCCCTAACTTGGAAAGTTTTACGGTAAAAAGGAAAAAAAAAAAAAAAAAAACCCTGGTCATCAGGTGGCAGTACCGCAAAGGCTTTTGCAGCACGTTTTCTTTTCTGATTCTCATCAGGACACGATTGAGGTAAAGGAGGCGCGGAGGGGATGGCAGGGGCCCCGATCCCGTCATTTATGTTCGACTGCAACCCACTATGAGATTTCAATATTTCGAGTACAACTCGCCATTGTGGCAACAGGTTAGCAGCAGCCTTATCACCGCGCGTGGCACTATCCCACAGTCGGACCCCAATTTGGTCCCATCTTTCCAGATTAAAAACATTCTTACTATTCACCGAAGGATCGTCTTTAGAAGCCCACGCAAGAACCTTTTGCGGCTCTTCTTCACCTAATTTTTTTCTTTGCGGTTTCCAGTTTTTAGGAGAAGCTTCTAAATCGTCCTTTTGTTCCTTCATTAGGTATGAACCCATAGTTCCCAGCCGCTTACCTCTTTCCTTTCAAGAGGCTTTTAGTGTGCACACAAAGTAAGCTTCCTTTCAGCTTGATCCTTACGCTTCCTTTCAGCGTGATTCCCGGGAGTTCAGCTGGGCGGTGCAACCGGAGAGACAGCTAGTCTTCGTGCCCCACGTTGGGCGCCATTTGTTGCACCTTGTGAAGAAACGGACTCAGTCTGGGGTGCAGAGTGAGACAACTTTATTTCCAAACCGACTTCTTTTTATACTTTCTTAACACAAGTGTTGCAAAGCGCACAACCAATCAGCATCTGGCCACCTGCGCGGTTGTCTGGCTTTGTTTCTTTTCTTCTGGCAAGACACGTCGCACACGAGGCAGGGGGAGGTGTTCCTCAGTCCTCGTCTTTCTCGGCTCTGTCCCCCATCTGCTGCAAAGACTGACACCCTTGTGGTTAACTATCTGCTAACAAGGTACTATTGTCTTTGAACAAGCCTCCACAACCTCGCTCAGGGACAGTGGGATGAGCTGGTGAGGACCCTGATAACCGTGTTACTGCAGCTGAGTATCAGCTCCCTATCCCTTAGGGAGCAGCCAGCCATCACTAGACCCTGACTTAGATAGCCCAATATTTAGGTAGATAAATAGTAAAGTAAATAACCCAGCATAACTTGGCCGTAATGATTTACTCATGCCAGTTACATAATTGCTTTTACCCTGTACTTTGAAGGACTCGGTTTTCTTCTGCTTGCTTTATATTTCACAGCTAAAACCTTGATATGGTCCCCAAAGCACTTAATCCGAGTGGTTCTAGTAACAATAGCAAGACTATGAATCTGTATCAAAGATTTGATCTTGATTTAACTCTTTTCATTAGGATTTCAAGAAGGAAGTTCCTTAACATGTATAGATTCACAAAGGCTGGGAATTTGATGAAATCCTTTTACCCTGACAATAAATCAGATTTATACAGTGTTTTCTTCAGGGGAATTCCAATGTTATACACAGTGGCTTCTCACAACTAAGATGAAGGGTGTAGGATTGCACCTGGTGGAGAATATGGTACCTGGTTAGACACATTTCGAAGAAAATTTAGCAAAGTATATTGTGATTGTTTAGGCAGGAGTCAGGACAAAATGCAACTGATATATATATACATATATATGATCTATATATTTCATACATATATTGTGTTTAGCAGTACTAAACTGAGATCTTCAGAGATCCCAAGAACAAGGACTGGATTTTTGTCTTACAGGGAAGCTCTTGTTGGAGTATTTCACCCTGCATGGCTCCGGTTACTAATTGATTGCTAACCCAGAATGGCTGTTACCCCTTTCTAAGGCATTGACACTACTCACACCACTGAGGTGTTATTGTCCATTCCACCCAAATATTTTCTCATCCTGATCGTACTTCACTTTTAAATCAGTGAGAGAATAGCAAACTTCTTGAGAAGTGGTGTCATTCCTGAGCAGTGTAAGAAATGGAATCTGAAAGTACTGTTACTGGGATGAACAGCGGCACAGAAAGTGAGGACTTAAAGACAAACAAAGCACGGGGGGAATCTGTCTTCTATATGTTGGTAAACCTAGGAGATGAGCAGAAATGAAACAAGCAATGAGATTTGAAAGGTCTCAGTCATCTCAGAAGACTTTAAATAGGAGATGGCAAAAACTGATGGTGCATTCTGATGGTGGCAGAAACTCTCATCTTATATGGATTATGCTTGCCATAACTCATTGTTTTGGTGTCTGCATAAAATGTGCAGCCCCCTGACCTTTTATCTGAGTTACTGGCTCTTGCCACTTTGAATTGCTGCTTGTTCTGCATTAATAGCTCTGGGCTGTTGTGCAGCTGTTTGAGTCTGAGTCAGGTGAAGTATTTCCAGCACAAATAATGTCTTGTTCTGCATCATTCATGTTCTATGATTGTGTCTCAGCAGGGGCACAACACGATTTCCAGGGTCAGCTGTGTTGAGAAAACAAATTCAAACTAGAACAAGCAAAGAGAAGGGTTGTACGGATCAGAAGGGAATGAAAATGGCCTCTGTACAAGTGAAGACAAAAAGATTTAGTTTGTTTAGCTTTCATATCTCTCCATAAATGTATCAGGAGTGATAAATGACAGGGAGACCTACGAGCTACCTAAGGCCAGCGCAGGCACAAATATTAGTTTAAGGAAGAGTTTAATATGCTCATATGGATTTACTATAGTTGTCTCCCAAGGAAGATTTCTGCATCCAGTGACCTGAGATGTTTCTCAATATTCTGTTCCCCAAACACAACCTTTTTTGTGAAATCAGCCACATAGATAAGGAACATCATTGACTGAGTAAGTTTTATTTAATGCCTAGTGCATAGTTTGCAATGGTTAATCTCAGTACCATTAAAGCTCAAAAGTTCTAAAATCCTTCATAAGAAGGTAGAGCTATTAATCTTTCATGGCTCTAAGAATACAGTTTTTGTAGTTAAGAGTTGGCTTTGGAAAATTTGATCATATAAATCATTTGTACTGAGTTCCATTTTTTTTTTTTTTTTGAGAATAACTGCTGTAGGCCCAGGTATGATCTGGTGATCTGCACCTTTCTGTTGCACACTGAGTCTTTCAAGCTCACTTTAATGATAAGTCCTTCTGTGGAGTCTGTAATTCACCAAGCAGTTCCCTGGAGTGAAAAGTGTGTGGTTTGGGGCTTCCTCCCCTCCCCCCCACTTTTTTTTTCACCATAGGAAACATCTCAGTTTTTAGTCCTGTGGTGGGGAAGATGCAGTGGGAATTCTTAATAGGCACGCTGCTGTGTGGCTGAGATCTAGAGGATGTACCAGCTCAAAATGAATTTTGATATCTTTCAGCTGTAATACTTTACCACCCTCGGCCATGCCGCTGCAATCAGTTTGTTTGTGTTTAGATTAGCTCATTTTGTGACAATACTTTCTTATCTGTGCACTGAGATGAAATCATCCATCTTCTCTCTAATTCAGCTGGGGAAAAGATAAATCACTACACATGAAGTTTTGAGAGCTCGTGATCGAGCTTTCTACACAGACATTATTAGCAGTGTAGTAACTGTTGGTGCTTCACTGGCCAAAAGGGCCCACTTAAGGACCTGACTTGTATTTTCCTTGCTTTGTTTGTTAAGCTTGTTACTCCCATGCCAAAATATTGAGTGTTATAGAAGAATCTACACAGAGAAGGTGAGTTATATAGCGTGGCAGTATGAATCAGCATGAGCAGCATGCATGTCAGTTAAATCTGGGATTGAAATTATGGTACAGAAAACTATTTACCTGAAAACATTGCATGAAGTAGGCACAATTCCCTCTCTGTAACTTCCCTCTGCGGCTTAATTTGTTTCCTGCTACATTGCATGTAGTGCTCATTTTTAAATGGAAGGCCATATATAAAAATGATGTTACCAACCTCTGGAGGCACAAATTTATCTGTTTTTGTGTAAGCACTTGAGAAATATATTAACTAATATTTGAGGTTTTTTAGCAGCCCTTAAAGCAAAATTACTTAGATTAGTAAAGTAGTCTGTGGGCTAGAATTTAAGGGAGTGGGCAGTGATGGAGGATCTGTGTCCCTGTATCTGATAAAAACAATGTGGTTTAAATCATTTTGGGTGCAGTGTAGGAATTTATGATGTTTTCAGCAGAAGTAAATATATATAAATTGGAGAGAACAGGAAGAATTAGAAGTAGGGAAGGTGATACTAATAAGCATTTGGAGTTCACTGTGCACAACATAAGGAAAATTTCTTGGGCAGTTAGGAGAATTTTCCCAGAGGTTGGTACAATATTGCCAAGTCTCCTCATTCAGAAATCAAAAGGCAGGCTCTCAAAACCATTTATTACAATTGATAAGACCTGACTTCTTTTTATTTGCTTCCTGTGCTTTCAGGGTGGAACTTGTTTGGGTTTTTAAAACCTTAATTGTCAGGAGGGCTGGAAATGTTTTGTTCTGAAACAAAGTGCAAGCTGAGCTTGTGCTTAAATAGTGAAGCAGAAGCTTGGAAAAAAACCTTCTGCTGTTGCAGTACTTCTCATAAAACAGGCAGCTCCATTGTGGCTCCCGCCCGGTGAAAGCCCTCGACCGCGCTCTTTGTTGTCCCCTGATGGAGGTAGCGGTAGTGGTTCCCGACTGAATGGACTTCTGTGACCCAAGAGAAATCCCAGCGGATTGGCAGCTGTACAAAAGTAATGACTTGCACCTTTTGCCAATTCACACGCCTTGTCAAGCGAGCTTGCAGCTCCACTCTGATCCCTGGAATACAATTAGGAAACCACTGGTA